TTTTCTCGGACCTTACATGCTTTTCTGTATATATCACTCAAGTTCATTGTGTACCTCTCTTTTATCTAATTTGTGAAGTATTCCTGTTTGAATAGTAACATTTCAATATGTTTAACTGATTTTAAAGTGTATATTTTGGTCAATGCGTGGGGAAATGAGGAACTGTGGCACTGAGTGTTCTAAGCATTCCATATTGCATTTTTTCTTAAGAATACAGTCGGTTAAAAGAGAAATGTGTTTCGTACTTTGTGAAATGTATTTTATTTACTTATAATGTGTCATGCTCGAGATAAATAAAAATGTTATACATGTGCGCAGGATTGTGTGGCTCCAATGTTTAATTTAAATAATGCTTTTTTGAAAGTGTGTTCTTCCTTATGATAAGTCATACTAAACTGCGTAAATATTTTTAAAGCTGATGTCTCTAGTAGATCATTATATGAAGTTTCTGTCATTATTACCTATATGTATAATTAATAGTGTGTAATTTTATTTACTATCTATGAGAATTTAAATGTCAAAAAAGCTGTAAGAGTTCATTATTAAGCAATGTCAGTTTGACATTTCTATCTTAAAATGACTGTGTTAGATCTTTTAAGTTAATTACTGTGTTGGATCATTATTTGGAATTCTACTCAATAATTCGTTTAATGTATTATAACTAAATAGGAGTTATTTGTCAGGTATGATAATTTAAATTTCTTTCTCAAAAGGCTGTAAGAACTTCAGTGCTAAATAAATTATTGTCAGTGTGAAATATGGGTATCTTTCAGTTAAGTTACAATAAATATGTTAAAAAGTTATGAGACTCAGCAAAAAATAATGGTAATATTTAGAAGTTGGGAAAAAATATTTCAAGATAACAAACTTTTATATTCCAAGTTGTTTTCCCAACTTCTAAATATCATCATTGACAAAGTTTTATTTCCATGGCTGAATATTAATTCGATGTATATTATATGTGACTTTGAGTTCTTCACAAAATGTGACTATAATTCAAATTTAAAATAATAGGTTACAATGTGGATATTTTTCTCTGTAGTTAAAAAATAATGCTATCTTCTGTACCTTGTTAAGAGAGTAAGGGTGTGATAAGTTCAAATAGAGTAATGTTAATAAAGTTCAAATAGAGTAAAGTTCTGCGGTAAATGGTGGAATCATATTAAGAATCCGAGGGACGTTTTCACATGAAGGAAAAATCAAGGTTCAGTGTATGTTTGGTGATTTAAGTTAGGATAGTGTGCAAGAAAATACAAGATATTTTTGTAAAATATTTCAAAGAGTTAACCAAAATTTGTGTTAGTAGTATACATTAATCTTACTGAATGAAAGGAAGTGTTCTGAATATATATGTATAAATGTCTGTAGAGTAAAATAAGAAGAAAAGAAGTACTATTCGTACGTATCTAAACTTACCTGGGTAGAAATGCTCCATGTATTGGTTTGAATGGGCTTCATACAATGAAAATTTATTGCTTCTTATAAGATTTGTTTAAAGTCAGTAAGTCTTACAATAGAGAAACATGTGTAAGTCTGTATTTATTATAGAGAAAAGGAATCAGAAATACAGCATGAATATGTTTTATAAGTTAAATATAAGGGTAAATGTGTAAATGGAAAGTGTAAAAATTACATTTGACAGACATAGTTTAGTGAATCCTTTGAATAAAAGACGTGTAAAAAAGAATCAACAAAGTTTTGTATAGTTGGTAATACAGCCATTAATAGTTTGAACAATACATTAGAATAGAAAGTTCTGATTATCTCCAACTTAGTAGTAAAAAAGTAAGAAATGTAGTATTCCAGTTAAACTATATAGAATGAACATTGTGCATATTGGTTTAAAGTTACAGAAAATATTATCTAGTGAAGTTATTTCCAGCATGTAAATTCCAGCTTAAAACTTCGAAGAGAGAGAAATGTAGGTAAGTTTACTTTTGGAGAAATTGAAACTTAACATCATATAATATTTAAAACAAGGGGGAAAAGTTAAGGGTAAAATTAAAATGTAACAAGAAAAAAATTTTAAAGGACAGAAAAAAAACTAAAATTTACGTTGGAATTAAAGTACATTAGGGAAAAAACATAGGACTGCATTTGTGTAAACAAAAAACTGAAAAAAAATTAAATTTATGAAAACAAATATTACTTTTGTCAAAATAAATAAAGGTAGAAATGTAGTAGCACTTTTTTTTAATAAAAAGCGAAAAGGAAAAATTAAATTTGTAAAAAGAAATATTACTTTTGCAAAAAAGATAAGTTAAGAAAAAAACCCTTTTTAAAGTAAAAAAGTTAAATGTAAATAAAAAATAAAGTAAAAATACGAAAAAGAATAAATTTGAAAAGAAAAAAAAATTTTGCGAATTTAAAAAGTGAAAAGGAAAACATAAGTTCGTAAAAATAAAATATTACTTTTTTAAAACCAAAAAAAAGAAAGTTAAATATAAAAAAAATTAAAGTAAAAATACGAAAAGGAAAAAGAAAAAAACCTTTTGCAAAATAAAAAGTTAAAAAGAAAATGTAAATTCACATTTGTAGAAATAAACGTCAATTTGCGAAAAGTTAAAAATAAAATTTGTGTATGGAAAAGGGAAACATAAAAAAATTAATAACTTAACTATTAGTAAGTATGAGAAGAAAAAAGAAAACAATTAAAAATATCCCAATAAAATAAAAGGAGAACTTTAAAATGTAAGAAAATCTTCCATTTAAAACAGCAATGAATAAAGTAATTTTTTAGAAGCCAAAAGAAATCCTAGTCCGTTTCAAGAAACATAAACATGCTCATTGGTTACAAAAAAGCATATTATTAACAAGAATCTGATTGCCCATGAAGATTGCATTCGTTCACCATCGTGAAAAGACAAATGTGTGACGCCGTTTTCAAAGCAGGTTGGAGCATGCACAGACTTTCAGCCTTATAACATCAATGGCGCAAATAAGTCAAAGGAGCAAAGAGGGTTTCAAATAACAAGTCTGATATGACGACCGGGTAGCCGTGTGGTAACTTTCAGGTCTTTCATCTCAGAGATGGCGGGTTCAAATCCCGCTCGTGGAGTTATTTTTAAAATTCAGGGAAAATAATATTAAATTCAATAAAATTTAATTAAAGGTAATAATTAAAATAATGACGAACTAAATAATTAAAATACTTATTAAAAAGAGTAAATGAATGACGTACTAAATAATTAGTCACGTGTCAAATAATTAACATCCTTACTTACCTAGCGAATTTTTTTCTTTCTTTTTTCCTACAGTAAATTACTACCTGAAAAATTATTAATGTAATTAAAATTTGTTTAACTTAACCTCTAATTTTAAAAAAATCGATAAGAAGTTTTGTGAGAGCGCTTTAATTGGGTAATGAAGTGACACAGCGATTTAAGAAATTTTTTGGAGAAAGCGGGGATACTATAGGTAGCCTAGAGTCATTTTTTTTTTTTTTTTTAGCAGAAAATCTTGAAAAATAAGCTATTCCCTTGCTAGGAATTTAAACACAATTTTACAATTGCTAGTTAAATATGCTTACCAGTATACCAAAGAGCAAAAGAGCACGGTAACAATGACCTTGCAATAAATAATTTTCATAGTTAAAACACGACATATTTATAACTGTATATTTCTAGTTTCCTGGTAAAAATCTGTTAGCTACCTTGTATAGGAAGCTCAAAGGTTACAACGTACACTGCGCGGGAAAAAAAAAAAAAAAAAAAAAAAAAAAAAAAAGTTCTATATCTCCCGTTCTACTTTCCCGATTGACGAAATTCAAATTGCGTTTTCCATGTCTCGAAAACACGACTTAGGATATATATTAGATTTATATATAGCGTTGTTCTAACATAGGTATTTTGGCAAACTCGGGTTTTTTTTCTGAAATAACATACCATTTTTTTCCATATTTCGATTCTACGGTTCAAATTATGCCTAGATATTAAATTTTTAAATATTTGGGGAGAAATTTATGGAGAAATTTTAAAATTTATCTTTGCGAATTTTTTCAGTTTGCGCCAAGAATAATTCACTTGGCGAACTTCTTAATTTATAGCAATTTATTTTTCTTTCCTTTTCCTTCATTGTCCACGAGCGGAAAAAAGTCATCGTTCATACTTTCAAACAATTTTAACAAAGTGCGTAAAGCACATTTTCGTTATTATCGCTTATAATGAACACGCCAATTTTCAAAACGCGCCAAAAAATAAATTCACGTATTTCTTAGGAAATTTTGAATAAAAAACTTTGTTTTGCAGGCATGCTACGAAATACATCTATTTTAAGGTGATGGCAAAAACTTTATAGATTATAATTCAAAATGTTTTTCGAAAAATTTATGAAAATTATTTAAAAATACAAATTAAAAACTAAATCATAAAATATAGGCGAATTTTTATTTGGAATGAACTTAAATTTCAAAATATGAAAGGAAAAATCAAATATGTTTAATCAAAAAAGAGATATTAATAAATATCTATCAAATTCAATTAACATTTAGTTGCTAAAATTTTGAGAGCTAATTTTTTAAAAACTACTCTTGTGAATTTTACAAAACTTGGCAGTTTAGCATAATTTGAGTCGTAAAATCGAAATATGGAAAAAAAAACTGGCATGTCATTTCAGAAAAAGTCCGATTTTGTGTCAAAATACCTGTATTAGAAAATGCTATATATAAATTTAATACATATCCTTTCTAGATATGGGAAACACAAATTGAATTTCGTCAATCGGCCCAGTAGAACAGGAGATATAGAACTGTCTTCCCCTCCCCCGCAGTGTGCAAGCAAAATGCCTTACTATAGTGCGGGAAATTTCGAGATTTGATTTTTCATTTTTCATTGATTTAACTGATAATGAATGAGTATCTGCAACTGCATTAATGTTACATGTTAGTTGACATTTCAGAATCTCCTTTCACAGCATACAAAACACATGTATACCTCAGTAAGTTTTACATCTGTAATGCAACTCGAAAATGAATTTTATTGCACATTTCATTTTCTTTTCAGGATTGGTCGAAAGCCGGTGTTCTTCATTGTCATTTTCGTTACTGTCGTCACAGCTGTCGCTTCAGTTTTGATGTCGAATTTCACGGCGTTTCTTATTCTGCGAATTATTAATGGCAGCCTTATGCCATCCGTCTTTCAACTGCCATACATCATACGTAAGTAACGCATTTTTTAATTTCATTTTTTTTTCCCCCTCACGTTTGTTCATTCTCTAAAGAGCTCGCAGACGGAAATCCAGAAACTCTAAGCCTGGCGTCGGCAACTTTTTTTTTTTGGCTGCGGGTTAAAATCCACCAAAAATGCATTAAGAACGTTGATTAAAAAGATGTTTCGGTTAGCGATATTTTCGTTTTAAAACAGTCCTTTTTGTTAGATAATAAGATACATTTTATTAAGACAAGAACGCGCTTTAATCGTTAAACATAAAAATTAAATTATAATTCTAATTATTATAGAAACAAACATATTTGAATTAACATTGTTTTTCTCTTCGATATCAATGATTATCCTGATGCTGAACATGTGATGTCAGTTTAGTTTAAGTCTGGCTAATAGTTAATGAACTTAGGACGAACAAGCATCTGAATTTTCAATACTGCAGCTCCTACTGTACTTACTTAAAATGAATTTCCTGTGTGAAAATATCCTATATATACAATATTTCTTAGAAACATTTGCAGGGTAAATCCATTTATGTGGCTATTAAAATATTTTGGATTTTAGAATAAAGAATGACTGAAATTTCGCATGAATCTACTCGTCAAAGATCTTGATAATTTATTCTAAAATTGAACATTTTAAAAGTAAATGACAGTGATAGTTGCTTGAGAAGGTTTTTGAGAAGAATGTTAGGTATTTTTTATTGAGCAATGGCAACAAAACTTTATCATGGCTAGGGAGAATTCCCCCCCCCCACCAATGGCGGGCACTTGCAGCATTGGCCACTCCTAAGTGGCCAGAAGTGGTGGCCATTTATTGTGGAGGCACCTAATAGGCGGCTACCGTTACCTTCTACCGAGGGGATAGATAATTTTACATTCATGCCTTCTCCGGGATTCGAACCCGAGCCCCATCGGTATCGCAGGCAGGATCCCCTACCACTATACCATCTGTTAGGCGGTTAGGGAGAACTGCATAGATGGAACATTTTCAAACGAAGATAACAGTCTTACTTGCCTTTAGTGGTAAATAGTAAAAATGTAAAGCATTTTCTTATTCCTAAAAAAGCTAATAAACGTTATTTTATAAACATAGATTCTACTGTAAGCTTATTTGATGTATAGTATAAAGCTTAATAAACTAATACTTTTATCTGAAAATTAAAACAGCAAATCGTGCTCAAGCTTTAAAAGGGAAAATGAGTTTCCAGCAATATACAGTACAACTCACTGAAATTTGAAACACACCGTCGACAACTTAAAGAACAGTTGATAAACTATCAAGATTTAGTGTATTCGCCTTCTCCTAACTCTAAATTTTGAGATATAATTCTGGGCATACATTTAGTTTAGAAAAAGTATATTCAATTTAGAGAGAGGGAAGGGGCAGAAAATTTTTTTAAAAACTTTTTAGACCAAAGGGGTGTTAGCCCAGAAGGGCTATTAGTCTCGAAATAGCATTTTGCGTCGAATCAGTATAAACGGCTGTATTATTTTTCAAATTATGCACTTAAATAAATTAAACAATGAAGAATCTGCATGAATGTATACATGTTTCCCGCATTATTTAAAAAACAATGAAAAGTAGAGCCATCAAATTTTGAATAGCATAGTCCTCCACCAGTTTATGGGCACCCGAGAACCCGAGCCTTGAATTTCGAAAATTTTTATTATCTATTTTATATTTTTTAAACTTACGGATTTTTGATTAAGAAAATCAGGGATTTCAAAGTTAACAGTGGCAACACAGCGTGCGGAGTAATATATTTTTATCTCCAGCGCACGAAACTGTCTACCGGAAATATTTGTAGCTCTAATGTTCTTATGTTATTAAAATTATATTCTTATGTTATTAAAATCTTATGTTGTTTTTAAATATTTGTAGCCCAAATTTTCTCGAAATATGTATGTATATGTAAATGAAAAAAAAAAATGCCCCTTTGAGGGCAATATAAAATTTGAAAGATTCCACATAAAAAAAAAAACAATTTTTTTCTTCCTATATTTAAATTGATATGGGAAAGTTGTTTTTGTTGTAAAACAGGTATGTATGATTTAAAAAAAAATTGCCTGTTTCTAGGAAATGAAGCAAAGTTTGCTTTAGACATTAACGTTTGCTCACTTCCCTGTCACATACGGACATCAGAAGGCTAGATGTCGTTGTTTTATTTTGAATGACGTCATGATATAAAAATGTGTATTCTTTGACTTACAGTTTATTGCATTAGCAGTAATGAAATATAAAATTCATGGAAGAATACAATGATCAACTGTATCGAGCTGAAGTTAATCCTAATTTCCGGAAGCAATTTCCCTCAATAAATAACAAAGTAAATAACTATACTCTTCCCCCCCCCCACACACACAATTTTTCTCCTCCGCTTTTACCTGTGGTGAGAGGATAAAGGCAACCTTAGGTAACACCACTTGCCAGCTGAAGGCTTTTCAATTTTCATCCTGTAATGTTTGTGTCATACTGTGATACTGTAATGTTTCTTTAAAAACACGATGCGAACAATAATCAGACAAGTAACGGAAGCTGTGTTTACAAATATTGAATGCAATACTCCGTTAAGGCAGAAACGTTTTTTCTAAAGTGATTGTAACCGTGACCTTCTTTTATCAGATATCATTAAGCTTTTACATTTCGCATGCTTTTTACTACTAAGCGAGAAAAGAAGCTGTTCATGCGAAACAAATCCTTTGTTGGTTGCAAATAATTGGTTATAATGATCACTTTTTAGAACAGTAAAAGTTTAGAACAAGCAGCATTTAACCTCGATTCTCGCAGGTTCCACCCGAATAAAATCAATTTAGAATTATAAACTTCTGAAAATTTATTGTTTCGATTTCGCTTAGATCATATCATACCCGAGCTTGAAAATGAAACTGTTGTCTATACATACGGCATAAAGTCTTTCCTTTATTTTCCAAATTATAAGAATGCATCGTTAATCATATACATATATATATTAAAAAAAGAGGTACTCTATACTTTTCAATTAAATTTTGCTGATAAACAAGTTATTAAGATTGATATTGTTGCGAGGTATCGGTTCGTTTATACCTTACTGAAAGATCACAGGAAAACATTACTAATTTTTAACAACAACAGCAACAAATCAGTTATAAACAGTACAGTATTTAGCATCAAACCAACTTAAGCAAAATGCAGATATACAAGGTGGTCATAAAAAACTTTCCCGTTATATGGAAAAACCTAGGAGGCCTATCCGCTCAATCAATCGCAATATTATTTTCCCCAATCGGAACCGTCCACAGACGTTGGCCAGGAACGGTGGTCACTTCACTATGGAGGCACCTAATAGGTGGGCCACATTTGCCTCCTATGAGGGGACGGGCAAATACAACCATGTCTTCTCCGGTAATCGATCCCAGGGCCTTTGGTATCGCACATGGCTCCCCTAACCACTACACCGTCTGGGCGGCATCAGTTGAAATAAAATTTCAGATATTGTTATTTGAAGATACGCGCTTAAGATTGTGATAATTTAAAAGAACAAAGTTCTCACGATCACTGCTACAGGAAAACATATTTGGAAATTTTCTAATGGCAACAACCCCTTTTTTCATGCGCAAATTAATCAGCGCATTGAAAAACCATAAATGGCGCTGGAACGATTACACGTATGACCGCGGAGTATAAAGATACACCGGGCGCGTGACGAAATCAGCCGAAGTAAAACATTTATAAAGAAGAGCATTGTAAAGAACTAACGACAACACAAGAGAATGCAGAAGGCGAATAAATCGTATGCATTTTTCAAGTGTGGAGTGGAAGGAATATTTATTTATTTATTTATTTATTTATTTAGGACACAGTCCCGCCCGCCTGACGAGGGAAGCTCGTCTTATGACACAAAAGAGCTGTGGAGTGGGAGGAATGTATTGAGATGATTTATCATCAGTTAACACACACACACACACACACAGACACAAAAAAAAAAAAAAAAAAAAAAAAAAAAAAAACATGACATGCTAAATCCTCTCCAAAAAATTAAGAATGTGACATTGAGAGGCAACGCGAGGTAACTTGATGATTCCAAGTCAACTGATATTGTAACATTCATGGTATTTTTATAACATATGCTTTTACTGGGTGTCTATAAAACTGATATTTTCAAAGTTTTAACGTCAAACGTTAAACTTCTTCAGCTTAAGATTCAGAAACTTCAAATAACGAAAAATGCACTAAGATTCGAGTTTTAAAATTTGATATTTTTTAAAGATTCTCAAGGTTTGATGCTTTTAATCAAAATCAATGTTTCATGACATCTGATATTGGTTTAACACATATTTCAATTTTCAGGTTAGCCTAACTATTACGAATTATAATTATTTTTCTAATTTAAATTAATTTCGTTGATCAAAATCAGTTGTTTTATTTCAGTTGCATATCAACCCACTGTAAAAATAAAATTAAAAAAAAAAAAAAAAAAGTGAGTTTACAAGCAAAAATCGAGTTTTGATTCTCCAGTTCTCGACGCGTTAAAGGAAAAAACGAAAAGTTGCACAAATGTGCAATTACGTTAATTGCAAAACATTTTATATGCAACAGAATGGCCGTATCAAGTGCTTCTGAAAATAATTGTTAAAGTGAAGTTTATGCGAGTATTGATTCTTTGGAAAAACAAAACTGTGGGCCTAAATGCAAAGGTTATGGCAATAAACTTAGACATAGTCCTCTTAGTCGAAGAGGTACCGTAGAAACAGTAAACATAGCCTTTCATAATACAGGGTGTCCAAATTAAATGTACTTATTTTGAACAGTCGATTAAAAACAAAGTTTTAGTGCCACGAGGGCGATATTGGCCACGTGTGGAAGCTGAATTCATAGAGCTTGCACACAATATTTTTTTCTCGCGTCTGACGCACCTGCTCTTTTGCTAAGCCGACAAACGAAAAAATGGCGTTACTGCAAAAGAAGGCACAAATTGTTCTCCACACAAATCCGTAGTAAAAGTGGCAAAGAATGTTTCAAACAATTTATAAAAGGAATCCACCCCAGGCTAAGGGCATAAAAAAATGGCACAAAACGTTTCACGAAACGGGAAGTATACGGAAAAGATCCGGAAGTGATCGGCGTTCACATTCTAATTCACATGTGGAAGATGTTCGACAAGCCTCCGTTCAGAGCTCTTGTCAGTCGATCAGGCACGCAAGCTTCTGAATTATCTAGGCCACGATCAACTATTCAAGATGCGCTGCATCGAAAACTGAGGATGCATGCATACATTTGATTCAGACACCCACCCTTATATCTTTCGAAGTACTGGATAACACCTTTCTCTCACTTCAACAAGTTATGCTAGAAGCAATGAAGAACGGTGGCTCCGGTGATTTTAAGCTCAGCATATAGGAAAAGAAAAGCTTCACAGGCAAGGAATCGTATTTTCAAGTTCAAAATGTAGTAACGAAATTATTGAAAAATCCAATTTTTCCCGCCTTCTTAGCATGCATTCGTGGTGTAGTGGTCTGCACGCTGAGCGCGTATTTCAGAGGTCCGTAGTTTGATTCCCGGCGAAGACGTCGTTAATTTTTCATTTTTTCTGCTTCCAAAAAATACCTAATGTCTCTACAATCTAAGACTGATTTTTGTCTAATTTTAAAGGAATAATTATTTATTTTTAAAGTTGAACGGTAGTTATCGAGAGATTTCTGCATTTCAGTGCTAGAAATTGTGGGTCCATCCTATCGAACTCGGCTAAACGGCATCGCCAACTCTTCTTGGACGATAGGACTCTGCGTCTTACCTCTCATCGCTTATGTTACTAGACACTGGGTCACTTTGGGTTTAGCAACTTCGTCCGTCACCGTGTTGTTCTTTTGCTACTGGAAGTAAGTTCCTTTTTTTTTCACTTTGCAGATATATTAGTAACTATGATAATGGAAAGTTGACTGTGAACTTTTTTTTTTTAGTTCGCTTAAATAATTAACGCTTAATAATCACTCACTTAAAATCAAAATCAGAGATTCCCTTGCATGTTTTAACTATTTCATTGGTTCCATAGTTTTTCAATGTTCACGAAGCAAAGTTATTTCTCAAAGCAAATTGTTAAAAAAATTTTGTTATGAAAGATTTTGTTTAATTAATAGCAAGTAGTATCACCTAATAATATTAGTGATGGAATTGAAATCATCGTTTCATTAATCGCATAAATAATTAACCGCTTTTCTGAAAGCTATTTTATTGTACTGATTATTGAACTTATAATTCCTTGCCTTAGAACAGTTCAGTGAATAGTGTTATCCATTTTGAGAATCACTATTCTAAAATCTTTATCATAGGCAAACCATATTAAATGCTAAAAACTGTAGCTATCTGGTGTATTTTTAATTATAATTAGCTAATTTAATAAAAATATCAATGAATATTTAATTAAAAATTAGGACGGTAGAAAAAAGAAAAGGATTTTTGCAAGAAATAAAATTATAAAGAAACAGAGTAAAATTATTTGTGATAATGTTATTATTCTTGTCAACAGGTATTACCAATGATTCATTCTAATATCTAAGAAATCGCTTGCGAATTTTTTTTAGAGATTGTTACTACTTCATTGACATTTGATAGTACGTTGGACTCCATACTTCATTTCCTTTTATCGTTTGCAAATAAATTCATTTTTAATGAATAAAGTGTTTTTGATTTGCTATTTTCTAATTAGAAGTATGCAATTTAAGAAAGAACATACATTAAAGTTATAGTGGGTAAACCTAGTATGCTCATCCGCTGCAATTTTTATGTAATAAAAACTATTTGGCACTTAATAAAATCAATTAGGAATATTAATCACGAAGAAAATTAACGCATCAAATAGAACCAAACTAACTACTTTTCTCCCTTTCTCGAATTTACTTCCCTTCTGCGATTACTGAATTTTAAATTAGTTAATTATAAAATCAAGTTAACATGAATTAATTATTTACCCGCTCTAAGGTAGTCATTCAAAAGTAAAATTGTGCAGAATATATTTTTTACTGATTTCAAGTTTATTGCCGCATCTACCTGCTGATTACAGGTGTATCTTCTATGATTCCTTCCAAGCGTTTTTATTACGTGAAGTTATTACGTATCAGATTCATTGAAAAGTTATTTTCATGCTTATGACAGATGGTGTGCAGATGATTGCAACCGCTAAAGATAAGGGATCATCCTTTTTCTTGCGACAAAACATGGCTAATTTAAGCAACTGTTTTTTACATCTGTGACGTTGATTAGGTATAGGCATAGGTAAGAAAGGTAATGTTTTCTGTCTAAAAGTTTGATAGTGAGTTTTCATTTTCGGGTATCATATTTCAGAGGAAATATCTATTTTGACCTTTCCTGAATGTATTTGGATTCAAAAGGGAATTTTTCGTGATATCCGTACGTTCGTACATATATATCTCGCATAACTCAAAAACGATTAGCAGCAGAACGTTTGGTATATGAGCCTGGCAAAGGAAATTGAAACTGACATAAAAAATTGCAAATTTTAAAATTAAATATCCTATTCAACTTTTTACGTACGGAAGTCAAACTTCTTATAATTTTATTTTTTCATAACGAGTACACAATGTTCTTAAATAAGAGTATAGAAGCGAGAAACCGCATTAAAAGTTAGATTACATTATTTGTCAAAAATTAATTATTTTTTAATTGATATAATATTTTCGTTATTATATGTTCGGAAGTATATGACTGCCACCAATGACTGCGAAAATAAAGCTGTGTAAGGTATGTATTTATATCTATATATATATTGAAATTTTGTATATGAAGCTGGTATAACTTCTAGCTATGCACCTCCTTTTTTCATTTCAATCCGCAAAACCAAATATATATGTATGTACGCTTGAAGATAAAAATATATCCTCCAAAAAAGCAGGTGAACAACTAGATGTTATAGAGGTCCCATATACAAAATTTTAACGTTCTACGGCTAATCGCTTTTGAATTTTGCGAGATAAATTCACGCGTAACAAAACGTGACGCTTTTCAATCCCTTCTAGATCAATTTTACAAACCATTTTCGAAAGTAAAGTCCTTTAACCTTTCCGCACCCATTTGGGCGATTCTTTTGCTTGAGAGCTGTATGTTCCGCAAAAGTCCAAATTGGTGCGGCAACGATAAAAATGGGTATTTCCATTGTTTTTTCGATTACGTTACTTCCTTTACTTCGTATAAGAGGTAACAATGAATAGTGTTTATAATTAACAATGAGCCATTGAATTTATAAAAATTAGATTTTGTTTATAAACGATCAACCGGAAGTGTTGATTTACTTGAAATTCGTTATCATTTCTCCAGTTCCATGTCTTAACATAGAACCAGCAGAAAGTAATTTTTTTTTTTTTTTTCCAAAGGGCGTGTTAGCCCAGAAGGGCTATTAATTTCGTGTTGGCATTTTGCGTGGATTCACTTTCTACATTGATTCACTTTTCAAACTGTTACCACCAAATGTTACAGCCCTCTATTACATTTAAAGAAATTAAATAATGAAGAATCTGCATAAATGTATGTATATTTCTCGTATTGTGATAAAACAACGGTATCTAGAGCCATCGAATTTTGAATAACGTACATCTCCCCCCGAATATGGGCATCTGGAATTAGTTTTATTAACTGGTTCATATTTTGTAGACTCATTAGGTTAATTGGAAGCAGAAAAGATGAAAAATATGCAACCGCCTTCGCCGGGAATCGAACCACGGACCTCTGGAATACCGGCACAGCGTGCTACCGTTACACCACGAAGGCACACTAGGGAAGTGGGAGAAATACCTTATACTTTAAACTAATTTTTGATTAACAAACTCCAACGATTTCAAAGCGAGCAATGGCAACACTGTACGAAAATTTTATCTCCAGTGCGCTTTTTATTTCCAGCATTTTTATCTCCAGTGCGCTAGACTGTCGGAAATTCTAAAGATATGCTCATTTAAAAATTATTTTGCGATGTTGCTGTTGATTTGAATTTTATGGTTTAACTGAATATGAAACATGATATTTAATAAGTAAAGGTAACACTCAAAACGTTAAAAAACGCCCCTTTGGGCGTAATGTAATGTTTTTGGATGGGGGTTGACTACACTATTTAATAGTTTAAGCTAATGAAATTAAAAGATAAATACAATGAAAATCTTTTCAATTATCTAAAATACAATATTCTTATGAATACTTTCATAAGCCGAAATGACTTCAAGAGAAGTTTCCATTAATTTATACTGAACAAATTTTTAATATTTTCAGGTTCACGTTCCAGAAAAAAGATTCATCATAAGTTTGAATTACATTATTTAATTTAGGCAAATATTTCGATGGTCATTAGCATAAGCTCCATCTCGTATTCGATTACAGGGGCCCAGGTCACTGGAAGAACTGGAGAAGACAAATCAATTATTTCCCATCATCAACGTCTAAAATTCGTCATATATTAAATAATAAATGAACTTGAAATGATACTAACATAACTGGCAAATACATGAATGCTGTCACAAATATAAAGTTTATTTAAATCAGAAATGATGTGAGTATAAGAAATGAAAATGTACCTTCATATATCGAAAGCAAATTAGATAGTTCAAAGTTATAATCGATATATATAACTTTGAACTACCTAATTTGCTTTCGATATATGGATATAATGGTCGCCTGAATATATAGCAAGTAGATACATCGAAAGTGAGAGCTACAGATTATGACAGATAATTGTTTTTCCCCGGGCATGTTGTCGTGAGGAAGCTACGAGGATGTCTGGAAAGCAAGCAAAAGATCCATGATTCGAATCCTGATAAGAGCATCGTTGTTTTCTTACCTTTTTTAGTTCTTAAAAAATGCTAGTAAGTATTGCAGTGGAGTGCGATTAAAATATTGTGAACGCTTATCCTCATCACATGGATTTGGTTGATTGGTTGTCGTTCCCCTTTCTTCAATCTCGGGGAAGAATGTAAGGAATTATCGCCCATACCCATGCGTGTTCTCATGATGTATTTGGTAGCACCTCTGGCTAACTTTGAAAGATCCGTGGTTTGAATCTTAGTTAGATTTTTCATGTTTCCTGTTTCAGAAAAAATCTGAAACTTTGCAACATTCTTGTTGATAAAACATCTTTGGGCTATTACACCTTAGGCAAATTACTTCTGTTCATGTTGTGAATGGGAAAATGTATGAAAACTTCTAGCAGCTATAAAATCTCTTGGCCACCATACCTGAATAGGGGATGAATGTAAGTGTTCTCTTCTCTTATCGCCTGTATTATTGGTGGGCTGAGAGGTACAGGAGTAGGAGCTATATGAAAGAGAAGAATTTTTTTTTTTTTTTTTTTTTTTTTTTTTAACGTCTCATTTTCGTCTAAATCATCAGAGCAAACTTATTACTAACTATTACAACTTTTTTTTAATCGTCGCCTGTTTCATTATCGTACCCTCATACGGAAGGCTTTAAATATGACGTTATGTTTCATTGCTTGGACTTGTCATTGACGCACGCATAATAAATTTATGGAATAATTCAATAAATTAAACAATAATTCTAGAATGGATTTGACATATTTTAATTCACAACAATAAAGCAAAACGTTTAGAATCAAGCAGCACACATTTTATTTTTATCTATATTTGTTGCCGTTCTAGAGAAATTAACTTAGCAACAGCGAAGATAATATTATATGTAGAGAGAGCTGCTGTAAACTCACGCATTTTATGGCATGCAAATCTTCTGAGGTACTCAAAATATTCTTAGAACCTGCCTGAAACCACGTGTACTTTCAAGATCAAGCTCATAACTTTTGGCAATCATTCAGTAAAGCAAATGCTAGATGGTATTTTGACCTTTTCTACATAAATGGGAATCTGTGGATTTCTTTCGCTTGGCGAAAATTGTCATTCTTAAAAGCAGTGTAATCAATAAAGCACATTTCTACAATACTTGATGTATCTCATGATACGTAAATCCTGTATGAATCCAAATTTATCTTTGGAGTAGAATAATTAGTTTCCATTAATAACAGGTAATTGTTATTTATGCAATTAACTTTCTTTCAGATACTGACACAAAACTGTTGTAATCACTTGTTATAGCGTCTACGAGATATATAATACGAGATATAAACTGCTTTAAAAATATTTTGAGTAACTAATATCTTTCCCTTGTCTTTTTGCTTTAGTTTCAGCAAATTATTGTTGAAGCAAAGGATTTTAAAAAGCAGTTTCGACTAAAATAGCAAATTCTATTATCATACTTGTTTTGGAAATTATATTTCTCAGAAAAAATTCAAATTGTTAATATATTTATTTACTTCATTTAGATATTTTATATCCAATTTCTGGAAATCAGAAAAGTTTTATAGTTCTTAGAATACAAAAATACTTCAAGTATTAAATATATGTAAGAATTATGATTTATGACAGTTTTATTAGGAAAAAGGCAAACCATTATTAGTTAAAGTGTTGCACTGCGCAAAGCTGTGATTTTCCAAATCAGTTCATATTTTTGCTGAAATGATTTCCTTGATACTTACAAAGTGTAGGCATAACAGATGGTAAAAATGCTGGTTTCCTTTTTAAATGCGTGATAACATTTATAATTTGAAGTTGTTCCCCATTTCTGCAGCAATCTTCTTCACAAAAATTCAATGCACGTTATTTATTACGTCATATCAGTTGTTTCACACGCTTTCGTCTGCCAGAAATGAGCAAATAACCGAGCCAAAAAATAAAAACTGATGGGACAAAATACTTGCAATCTTCTTGTTTACTTTTTCCTTGTGCTATAATTCTAACGATAGATTTTGTGACTTTTTTTCTTCGAAGTTGATTACGTAACGCGAAAAATTTATAAATATATAACAAAGCTGAAATAGTTCAGTATTTTCAGCGGTTTCTTGGTAAATTTTGCTTCTTGATAAACAACTGTGAAGACATTGCTTTTAATTCCTTTCCACGCGCTTGGTTTTTAACATCATTTGTATTTAATGGGGGGGGGGTAATTTCTGTCATACCCAGAAATGCTGGATTTGGCAAATAGTCTATTCTTCTTGGCTGAATGGACACAATGCTGGGAAATAATGAATGAATCATCTATCGTTTCATTGTGGTAGAGCTGTCCTTGCTCAAATCGCAATGCAAATAGCTCTCTTATGTTGTACTTTAATGGAATAATTCAATATAGTCCTATACTTACTTGATATACGATACTTTAAAGCAAAAGAAACGGTGTTTCGAATTTCGAATTGGTAACTATCTTTCAGAATAACATAAAAAGAAAGGGTATTCCTTTTGGAATCAGGTTTAGAGTGATTTATGAACGCAGAAGAAAGGAAATACAAGGGTTTCCGAATGAACGCCAAAAACGGGAACGGAAATCGATTGAAATAGAGCTGTTCTTAAAGAAAGTGCGATTTTTTTTTTATCAGAGCAGAAAACGCAAAAAATAAACTGTGCTCTCTCTCACTGGGATTCGAAATATGGATTCGACTGCTAGCTAGTTATGTTTACCAGTTACCACTTGCTGAATGCTTTTTTTGGGGAGATATGTGTTCCTTTGAAATCGGTTTTTACTTGCAGAAAATTGTAGTCTGATCAATACAAATGAAGATGCGCTTGATCATCATAACATATAATCGTCCTTTATATATGATATTTAGAGCAAAAAGGACGTCTTGGAAAGTCCTAATATATGTGATGATTATAGAATATGAATCTTAAATATTTCCTTGGTTATGAAAATTTATTGCTCGAAACTGTTATTATTGGAGAAATATGGTTATCTGAAAACGGCAAATGGCGCAATAAGGTTTTCTTTCTAAGAGCAGCACTACTTTAATTAATTCCAGCGGGTGTCCCCTTTGTAGCTTATGGAATGTCTAACAGATGTTCCAGTTCTCGCCATGTGTTCTTCAACATTTGCTCTGTACCGCTTGACACACCAACTGTTTTTTCTGGACTTCGAAGTGTCAATATCAGGAACTGCTGTAGCAAAGACTCAGTTCTTGATATTCCCGAATGCTGTGAACCATCCCTCATAGTAAGCCTGCCATATCTTCCTAATTGTTGCTAAGATCATCAATGCTAATTGTTTCTTTAAAACTTTTCATACCAATTCTTAATGCTCTTAACATTTGAAGGATTGCATCCATACTAACTTCTAACCCACCGTTAATGGTGGATTTAGTTTCCTAGTACCATAAAACACAGCTTTAACATTTGTTGCGTCATCAGCAGTGATGTCATGAGATTGTTTCTTATATATGTTTGCAAAGAAGCACAGAAGAGTCTTCAGTGAAGGAGGAGAGTGAACGAGAGGGCGTCAAGAATCGCACCAGTTTTGGAAAGTTGGAGCGACCTACACATCTCGTCGGGAGAAGTGACTGTAACGAGGGACGTACAGGTGAAGAAGAGATCCCGTGTAATCTTGAGTATACCTGCAATAATTAAAGGATTATGTTTCATCTCCATGTGATACATGAATTTCATTTTTCAAACCATCGCATACACCGAAACTTCCAATTTTCATCGACACCATTTCTTTAATAAATATTTCTTGGTCCTAATAATAAGACTATATAACGATAAAAATGTGACGTTTTTAATGTTTTCAGTTATTTCAAGTAACATTTTTATAATCAGGGAAAGACTCTATGCTTACTTATATTTTATAGTTTTTGAAATATTATATTATATAATTATTTCCTAAATGATTAGTGCTACAGGAAAAGAATTAGCCTTCGTGATATGAGAAAATCTCGTTTCGAAGATAAAAAAATCCGGGGTGGATGTGTAAGGCAACCAAATACCTAGTTGTTGCCACTGTATCTGTAAACTTACTTTTCTTTAACTTTGTGCCATACAGTTTGAATTCGAATAAATGGGGAATTGAGTGAAATTTAATAGCTGTAAATCTGTTCTCATAATTTCTAGCATAGAAAACTTGTTGGGCAGCTCATCAGGAAAAGCAGACCGCGGCTCCCAGCTACAAAGGCTGAGTTATATTAATGTTATATTAATGCCATCTTTTATGTTTGACGTCAGCGGTAAATAAGTATTATGGCATAAGGCATGTGTCACCAGTAGATTTGGTGGATATATAAAGTATCTTTTGAGTGGGTATATAAAGTGCTGGCATACAGGAAACATTTCAGTCGTTGTCATGAATGAACGTAGTGTTGAATCCGGCATAGAGGATAGAATGGTTATTGACTTTCCAGACTAGGACGACCGCATTTCAAAAACTGCGTAGTCTGTGAATGTTCGCTAACTGTTGTGCCAAAACTGCATCATGAATGGCAAAGCAGCGCTACACAAAACAAGCGGCATGGAAACCGCGGAACACTACAAGCAGCTATAAATGAAAGAAGTGAACTAACGCTGCGGCGGTGCGTTTGGACCGATCGATGAACTACAGATAGAGCAATTTACTGCTCAAATGAACTGGAGGGCTAGCACAATTGCGTCTAAACGACAGTTCAACAAACTTTGCTGCGTATGAGCTTTCGCAGTAGACGAATGATGATAGTACCTCTGCTAACGATTGTTCATGGATGGAAGAGGTTGAAATTTATGTGGCAATTCCAACAGAGGAACTTTAATGATTGTCAATAAATCATGATTAATCAAAAGACGATGAATGAATCATAATACAGAGATGAATTACTTTTCTTGCTTTATTGGACGAAGGAATATTGCCGCATACGGCGAGAAACATGGAGAATGAATATGTCTCAGCCATTTGTGAAAGAATAAGAGATTGGTAGAGTAGAGGCAAAATAATGGACCGGGAAATGTTTTTGTAGCATTTTTTAGAGTCCATTCATCATCATCGATGACCTCGTGTATCGCATTAAGTATTCATCGATCACCTCATGATAACGATGGCATCTTCCACAAGACTTTAATGTATTTTCCCATGCTCCCCAGAATTCAATCTTCCTGAAAAATCCTACGGGATCATCTTGATTGGGTTCTTTATTTGAGAGATCCTTCGTCACTCACCTTTCAGCAGCTATCAACTGCACTGTGTATATATGGTTCATATACCTGTGAATACATTCTTTTGTTTTATTGAGTCTCTTCCAGCCTCTCTAGCTGCTTTCCATGGTGGTCATTCTGAATATTAATAAGTGGCTCGACTGTGTACTCGCATCTTATGTTCATTTTTAGTTTCTAATATGTGAATAAAAAAAATCTTTTAATTTCGTGTAAAACTCATGTTTGTGGAACGATAATATTTGACTACTTGGTATGCATTCAAAAACGTGAATTCTGTATGTCAAAAACTTATGCAAGGTTGTTTTATATATTCATTTAAATATACAACATTTTATCCTTCTCAGATTCTTACCCGAATCTCCTCGATGGCTTCTCTCCCAAGAGAGATATGGGGAGGCGTCGATTATCTTAACGAGAATAGCAGAAACAAATGGGAAACCTCAAGATCCTGTGGAGCTGAGGATGAAAGTGCAGGTAATAAACAAATCGATTATTCTTTTAATTTTTTTATTAAAACATTTAAATTTTTAAGTAGTTCAGTTTTAACTTGGACTAATGACATTCAAACTGTGTTATGCGGAACTTTAAGGTTCCTTGCCCTGCCAAAAATGTTACACATATCAAAAAAAAAAAAAAAAAAAAAAAAAAAAAAAAATGCAAAGGAATTTTTTAGCACCATATGAGCTGCTAAATTGAATGTTAAAGTAATTAATTAAATAATCATTTTTATTTCTTTTGTTATGCTTATTTATAATAATGGGAAATAGATCTGTTTTTGGGGGTAACATTATAATGAAATAAAATTTCCTATTTATTTTTCACATAAATTATTAGAAATACTGATATATTTTAATACCTTCTTAAGATTTATTCTTCTGAGAATGGTAGAGGTTCCATTCACCTCCTCTTCCAAGAAAAGTGTATAATTTCATGAGTTCTCTGAGCCGGCAAAACATAGGTCTTTGAGCTAGTTTGTACGGATGTCATCAGTACCTCTTGTATCAATAAAAATATTTGTCTTAGGTTTCTTAGGTAAACTCCTTAGATATCTTTTGGTCGTAGATATGTACGCCTATTACAAAAGGGTTTTATATATAGAAAACTGGCATTTCTAAGTTTTTAAAAAAATTGTGAAAATTACGAGACCTAACTTTTTATACGAGCTTCCATACCTATAGTTATATTTAATAAAATTTTATGCTAATACTAAGAAATAAAACTTAAATTATTGGATTGCAAGAAATTGACAAACATTTAATTTAAAATTTTTATATCATACTTATACATATAGGTTAAGTACGAATTGAAGAATGAAATATCATGTGAATGTTATTAATATATTTTTTAGCATTTAAATATTCATAAACTACTTGTGCTTGTGTTGTTGTGATGTATCTTACTTGCCTGACACTATCATCGGAATTAGTCCACAAAATTTATTGTGAATTCGAACATAGGATAGCATTTAGCCATAAAAAATTTTTAAAAAATTATTTAAATCTATAGGTAACTAAAAATGAAATACCTGGGGCGGACCACACAGAAATGAGAAAATCATGTGTGCGGTCTCCGCAAGTAACTGTTTCCAAGCTTTTATGATGTGCCAGACGACATAGTCTGACATCGCAGACGCAATAATTCCTTCCAGTTGAGAGTGCATGAGACATAACTTCACGATTAGTGTCAAGAGATTTTAGCGTTGTGCACTGTGTCTATCGTCAAAGCCTCTCGATTTCAGACGTGCTGACGAAACAATGATCTTCTTTTTCCTCTGATATCATTCCAGATATAGCGAATCAGAGGATATAAAATACAACTGAAAAATTAAGAAGGCGTGGCTAATTCAGTATGAAGATTTTTTCCATCGGAACAACACGTCAGAATGCTCTTGAACTCTCGACTAGAGAGACTCTCGTTGGCAGGTTCCTCACATCACGAGGACTATAATTCGCTTTAAAAAATATGAGGGCTGTAATTCTCTTTAATAAGTATTCTATGCTATCCATTAATTATATATGTAAAAAGCTTCTCGTAATTGTAATAAATATATTTTTTGAGTTCAGAAATGCACTAAGTATTACTCAACCTCACAAATGTACTAATCATTATACGGAGTCAGATGCGCTACTTGCCGCCAGTCTCACACGTACCAGTTTAGAAAAAAAAGGTGTCTGATATCAACAGATTAAATGAACAACATTTCTGGATAGACTGTTATGAAACGTTTTGATCTACACAAATTTTTCGAAAAAGGGAAGGTCTTATTCACAGAATCTTACAGAATTTATATCCAAAAAAAATAGTGGGCAGGCTTCAGCGTTAGTCCACAGACAACTCACAGCATTATTTACTGAACATTGAATGTTATTAATATATTTTTAGCATATAAACATTCATAAACTGTTTATGTTGCTGTGAGTTACTTACTTTGATACTATCATCAAAATAAGTTGAAGAATTTCATCGTTGAATAGAACATAACACTACGTCTGTCGTTGGCATGGGCCTTAGACACCTTATAGGTGAAAGTATGAATTCGTCCCTCAGTTTTAAAGGAGAATTCGCCAAGAGACGGATCTGGGGATTATCCTATCATTAAACCACTTGAGAAAACTTTCGGCTAGCAGTATATTTTAAGTACCCTCCGTGTCGGAAAGATGTTAACACTTACAAACATCCAATTCTTCTCCAAAAAGTACTTATTTGAAGTTCTGACTACAATAAAGTTGCAAATGATACACGATTATCGTAATATTATGTGCTTGCTTTCATAAAAAAATTATCTTTCTTTCTGCCTTTTGAGAAAGAGATACCCACTTATGGTTTATACCGCAAGAAGCTCTCAGGATTTCTTCAAGGCTTCCAGTCTTGGTAACTTTCGCAGAAATCATGGAATATTTGTTTTTTTAACTTTAACTAATATTAACTTTAACTAATATTTAGCAGAAATCATGGAATATTTGTTAAAAAATGCAAAGGAATTTTTTAGCACCATATGAGCTGCTAAATTGAATGTTAAAGTAATTAATTAAATAATGACATTATTACTGTAAGAAGTATTTGTGGAATAAGATATTTGTACTGAATTAGATAATAGATTAAAAGAGACCAATCAGTTTCATTGTATTATAAACGCATTAATGTTATTACATAAGTGGTTCCACTTTGTAATCCATGGAGGTGCAATTATACTCGAAATGTTTATTAAGCACTTCAAAAATTAATCACTATGCGAATTTACTTCCCTAACCAGCTGTCTCTTTATGATATTGGAAATACTAAATCTAGATATTAATATATTGATCCTTAGAAAATAAACTTTAATTTATACTGATATGTAGCTGGGGAAGAATTTTTCTTGTAAATTTAATTGGTACTATTCGGTTTTGAGGGCCGTAAAAAATCGCCAAACTATTGTTGATGCCAATGTTGCCAAAAATAATTCCGACAACCCTAATAATTGCGGCAAGAAAGGAAGTATAACAGTAAATAACTATTTGAGATTGATGTTTTAATTTAGATGAAAGGTTAATTTCATATAATACATTTTATTATTATAATTTATATGAAAAAGGCTAAACATGACTGAATGGAAGCATAAGAGTAAATAACTATTTCAGATCATTTTTATAATTTATATAAAATTGCTAAACATAACTGAATGGATTTCTGCATCATCGCTATTACGCTACCGACTTATCGCTAAAGCATAATTTCATCTCGTTGGTTGTTCAAACGTAATTTTCTATAATGAATGATGCCTTTTCTTTGAAAATAATTCTCGGTAAAAGTGCAGAATCGCTCCACTTATTTGTTTGCCGCTTTTTTACAAGGGTAAAAACAATTGGATTTTTGTCAATTTTCTTTTACTTTTTAAGTGAAAATATGGTCGAATGTGCTACATAGATAAAGTCAAGGGTGTGGGCAGTGCCATTTTTGTGCAATTCTAGGGATTTTTTTAAAAGTGAAAATAGGTCGATGTGCACATGTATACCGAGTATGTAACAATTCTTAAAAACTCATCAAGCAGTGGGTGACTCTGCACTTTACCAAAAATTCTATTGCCGAGTTTTCATCATGGGCAATTCCCAAATTGTTAAGTCCATAGGATATCAAAAAAGGATTTAAAAATTAAACTAGTATTTCAATAGCGTCTTAAGAAATATAGAACTATACAAACTTAAGCAATCTGAAATCAGATCGCACGCTAGATTTGGCGCGCTGTTAAGTGGGCGCGGTTGCTAGATTTGGCGCTTTTGCACGTACATTTTCGCTGCAATTTTTTAACGGCCCTCGAAACCGAATAGTACCATTTAATTTTGTTGTAATTTTATCACATTTAATTATGCCTTTTATTATTTGTGTGTGTGTGTGTGTGTTTCAGAAATTAGGTGAAAGGATAAAGAAAGAAAAGAATCTAAATGCAGTGAGTAATACTTCGACCGATTTGGTCCGGTATTCGAACCTCAGAAAGAAATTCTTGATCATAACATTTTGTTGGTGAGTCGCATTTTAAGATTTTGTGAAATCCTTACTAATATTATAAATGTGAATGTGAGTTTGTGTGCTTGTTTGTTACGCTTTCACGCCATAACTACTTAACGGATTATCATGAAATTTTCAAGAAATATTTTTGATACATTAGAAAAGGTTATCGGCTATAAAACGTGCGACTTTAATTAGCCGAGATATTAATTAAAAACGACTTTTACCCTACATTTTTCACTTACTTTGTTGGTTTTTTCCCTATTAAAAAGATTTGGCTACGCCCCAATTTATTTTTTCCACAAATACTATGGAACGGCAGTTAGTTGAATTTCCAGACACAAATCCCCTGATTCCAAAAATTCGTCAGAATCCATCGATACCAATTTCATCTTCGTACGACTTTAATCAGCTGAGGTATTAATTAAAAACCCTGAAAACGCTAATTTGAGTGAGACTCAATAGCGACATTAGGGATTTTTTCTTGGGTCTTCCCGTGTGAGTCCAATAAATTGATAATAAAAATTAACTTTAGATCTAATTATCCAAATTTCTCGAAATTTAGAAACTTGTGTCGCATTCTGAATGATAGGAACAATGATGGTGGAACTGTTTTTTTGCTTAATTATTTCCAGCTTAATCACAGATTAAACAATACTTCGCTTGCTATTGTTAACTCTTTGGGGAGAGACGATTCGAAAGGGACTACGATTCGAAATTGACGAAGGGGGGAGGGTAGCTAGTATCCGGTCGACCATTGGGTTGGCGAAAAGGTCAAAGTTCACGGATTTACACATGGAAAATCATTTAAAAATTAATAACTTGACTTCTAATTAACTTACCGGCTTGAAACTATTATCAACATTTCGACTTTTGTGATATATTTAATATTTTGTTTCGTATTTTTTTAAAGATGTATTCATTCGTGTTATATATTTTTGTTACTGCTGCATGAAAAATTGCATTTACATTTTATATTTTTTACATTTTACTGTGTGCGATAACAACTATCGTTTTATCATTTTAAGGCACTCGAATGTTCTTTGTTTTTACAAATAACCCTTTGGTCAGGCGTAAATACAAAATATCCGCGGCTTATAGGTATTGAATGAGGGCAGTATTTACTGAAATTTTACGCTGAGTGTATTTTTAAAATTCATGTGGAGTTGAAACTTATTTTAAGGACATTAACGCGAGCGAAGCCGCGGGTAAAACTAGTAAGGATATAAAAACGAAAAATATTCAGAAGTTTTTAATTAAAATTACGTTTTCATTTAGCACTTATCTTGTAAATAGAGTGCTAAATGAAAATCTTATTTCGTATATTTAACATATACCATAAAATTTTCCCCTTTTCATGTCATTTGTTTCTTATTTCTTAATTCTGGTTAATCAAAGATTCTATCAACGTTCAGAATCACGAATCGATGGGAAATCCATGATTCTAATTAATGCGAAATAGCATTATTAAAATACTTTCTCGAATTAAATAATTTTCATTTCATTTTAATTTTAAAATGAAGTCTAGAAATTTCAAGGAGAATTTCTCAGCTTTCTTTTACATTGGTTACAGCCGTTTTGGAATTGCGTAGAGTTAATAAGCATTTTTTATGTTGTTTTTCGCATTGCTTTGAAAGAATTTTAGCCTCTTCCATTGACTGCATCTTCGTCCATATACAAAATATGACTAGAGTTTTGGCTCTGATTAAATTAAAGTTTTATTAAGGACACTTTTATTATACTTTAAAGTTTCAAAAATAATATTTTTTATATGTAAAGTACACAAATAATCATAAATTTTTACACACTGAGGAAAAGTTTATGAGTGAGGATGATAAAAAAATTTGTATTGTTTTTTTGCACTTATCTCCAAAGAATTCTAGGCCTTCATTCACCGTCTACATCTTTGTCCATGTATAAACGGTGACTAACTCTTTAGTCTGATTAAATTAAGTGGTGTGTGAAATTTCTTAAACACATAATTTCTCAGCTCAAATTTGTGCGACTCCTGTTCATAGAAGTCACACAACGAATGAATTAATGAACAACTAGAATGAATTAATAAGCAACTAACTATTAGAATCGCATTTTATATAAATACAAACTGGATGAAGCATGATACGTCAAAGTTTATCTTACAAAATTAAGGCTATTTATAGAAGAATGAAGGACCGTAGTTAAGCATTGGCAACAGTGAAAATACATGGTTATAAAGACTAGCATTTAAAAACATACTTGGGGATATTTCATGTTCCATCTCATTTCACCATAGCGTTCTATCTCTTGATAATAAGTTACTTATTTATAAATTCATTCTGCTTCCTATCCTATCAATATGCCTGTCCATTCTGCACTTATTCCTGCAAAACAAACAGAAAACAACTGCAAATTGCCCAGAAAAGTATACTGAAGCAAAAAAACAGATTCTCTTTGATATATTCGTAACAAAGAGGTAGATGAAGAACTAAAACTTATGCAGCCAATCGCTAATTATTATCAGCTAGTTAAATGGCTTCACAAAAGTCACGGGCGAATCAGCCATTCTGTAATATAAATCTGTTACTATGATTTTATCATTACATTATCAAAAGGCCAATGGTCGTCTTTAATGTACTTACAGAGCCATTTGATTTGTACTTCCGTTATTATTTCTTAATCACCATTTCGTTTGCTTCATGGTTCAAAGTGTTTGCAAATTCTTTCCCTACACTTTACATGCTTATTAAATTAACTGATATAAAAATTTCGAAATTTTTAGTTGGGTTCGATTTGGAGTAGAGTTTAGCCAGGCTTCCAGGAGTCTTACGCCGTTTCAAGGTCTCAATTCACTGCAATGAAATTCAATTCACGATAAAAAGCCTATCTCTCATTTTTTTAATCATCTCGACATTTAAAAATTAGACTGCAACACATTATTTATTGCAGTATGTAAAGCAATATGTTTTTTTTTTTTTTTTTATCTTTCTTATCAATTTTGAATTTCGTTCAAGTACTTTTCTTTTCGTCGATAATTCTGCTAACTTTTGACGTGATAGTCGTAATTTTCATTGGGTTTAAACATTCGAATTGCCTTTATACTTTCACTCCAGCTTTCGATTCAAATTCGAAGACTTTTTTATTAATGAGGTAACAAGTACAATTATTAATAGCACCAAATAAAATAGAATAGTAGCGAAAAGGATTGAAATATTTCAAAATTGGTAATGGATGCAATTAAATGCATGATTAAATGCACGAACTTATGAAAATTCTGAAAACATTTACGAGAAATGTAACTTTTATAAAAAACAAATTAAGAAACAGTCTCCTGAAAATCTGAATAAGAAACACAATATTGATCATAGAATAATTATAAGCTGTAAGGATCTTAAGTTTTACTAACGTTTATTTTATTTTAAATCTTTACTATCACTTCTTATTTTCTACTTCCGGCCAGAATTATAAGCGTGAAGGATTTTATGCAAAGTTGTCTGGCGAACGCCAAGTATTTAAGTGTGGCCTTTTTGCCAAGCAGGAGAGAGGAAGCAGTGAGTTCGAAGCAGGCCGCTTACCTTAGAAGTTACGCAGTTGCTATTTGCCTTCCAGGCCAGAGGTTTTAATCCTCTTGATAAATTAAACGTATTGTAGTGTTCACAGTCTCTGTGCTACATACGCTTCCTGTTATTATAAGGCCAATCTTATTCTAAAGTTAAATTAGAGTTTAGTTTTATTTTTATACCTTTTATGTTAGACCCCGAGTGGAGGGTCATTGTATTCCGAAGTACGGAAGTCATTGTATATAAAGAAAAATAAAGGGTCTTGTATACCCTTCGTCTGTATCCTGTCTACTTACTACAATTAGTGAACATAGCTTTAGTAAGCTCTCTGTTCCTAGTCAGGTCATTGTATGTTTCCGAAGAAGGTTAGAAGAAACATTGAACCTGATAGTGGCGCCCGACGAAGAATAACCATGGCCGAATTTCAAGAAGAACCTGTGCTGCCTGCAGAAACGGCTCAGAATCCAGAAATGCCAGCTGCCGCTCCGGAAGGATTTGGGTACATCGTCCAGACCATGCGCGCTTCGATGAAACCAGAAGCAACGTTTAATGGAAACTCACAGGTAACCAGTTTTTTGGAAAAATTGGATGACCACTTCATGCTCTACCCCGTGCACGAGTTTCAAAAAGTTACCTTAGCTACCAGCGCTTTGAGGGGCCAAGCGCTTAACTAGTTCAAATGTATCGGCAGAAGTCTCTTGGGTCAAGCAGGAAGTCCCACCTATACTTACGAAAATTTCAAGACTGCCCTACTAAAAGCCTTCCCTGTTGTAAGGGATCGTGCGAAAATTAGAAACAGGAACTTTTCAGTATATATCAACAAAGAATGAAAACCTCTCGAGCTTTATTTTAAGAAAAATTCACGTTTTCAAGCTCTTGTATGGAAACCGTCCGGATCCTGAAATAATTCAAGTGATTTTGCCGAGGTTACTACCCCAAGTGCAAGACTTTATTGAATTACGAAATCCGATTACACTGGAAAAGTTATTTGAGCTAGCAATCCAGTTTGAAAGTAGAAGAACGGCGGACGTCGAAAGAAGACGCGAAACCAATTTGGTACGCCAAGACTACAGCAAACTCAAGCACATGGCTACGGAGAAAAAGCGAATCAGTGGGCAAGGAAACCCGAGCATTCAAAAACAGCCGGCGAACGTCGACAGTTCAATAGCAACCCAGGAAAAAAGTCTCAAGACCAGTGGAAAAAGAAGGAAAGCACCGAAAGGAAAAATAATTTAAACTAAAACGGATTTCTGCTGACGAGAGGGTGCGGAAATCTGAAGGCTACGAAAACCCCTCTTCCTACAAGTTAAATACAGTAATGGTGAAAAATTTAACTCTTCCGAAGATTGAAGTCTTGGTAAATAATATCCCAGACACCGCACTCCTGGATACCGGCGCGCAGTGTTCCTGTGTGGCAGAAGTCTTTTTTAGAAAGTATTTTCGCAAATACTGCATATATAATGCGGATAATACAACAGT